AGCGGGCGGGTCAGGAGAGGTCTGCCACGCCATGTGGTCTCCTCCGGGGCAGGCGGGGATCGAACTCATGCGGAAGCGGCTTTAGATTCTCAGTGTTGTGCTTTAACCCGCTGAGCCACCAGGGAGGGCCTCCTAAGTTAAATTTTTAACTTTTTAGTTGTGGTGGTAATGCATTCAGCAATTAGAGCTTTCCCCCCACCCCCATCATAATCACTAGGTACACCTCCCTGCTTTCACATCTCTAGATTTTTCTTTTCTGGAAATTGATTTTGGCAATAGACATGAAAAGAAGATAGAAACCTTTCTTTTACTCAAGTGGTTCCTCTACTTGAGATTTCAGTGTATGTCCCAAAATCTCAAAGGAATCATAAATTTTGGAAGTACCTCAACATTTAAGAGACACCCAAACATCAACTTGGATTTCCACATTTCTTGCACATGTGTCTAGCCCCACATACTGGATTAATGGTCACTGCCTTTCACTTTGCAAACACTAGCTCTGTTGTGAGAAGCAAAGAGTAACACATAGGCTAAGAGCTAGAGTTCCCTCTTTGTCACATGTTTCTAAAGAGGCCCCAAGCAGGATACTTTAGTTCTTACTTGTTCTCTCACAGAAATTAATACTCTGGGAGAGGTTTCTGACATGACAGTCACAGCTTTGGAGGGATCCAGCTGTGTGAAGGGAGCATTTCTGGGGATCGAGACATGAGGGAGGAAACCAGGTGTAGCCATCTTCACATGCACAACGTAGGACCCCATTCTGGTTGTCACAATCTGTAGGAAAAACAGAGCTTGGTCTCATGGAGTCTGCTGAATAAAATGATTATTGATAAATTTCCATCCTTGGCTTTGACTCAGACTATGAGCCAATTATTTCTTACGGAATGCTAGAAGGATGAAATCAAGACGACAAAATGTATAAGGTAAGGAAATGGGGCCTCCCTGGTGGCTCAAAGATTAAAGTGCAGTGCTGTGAAGTTATCCATAGCCACTGCATTATAAGTCCAATTTCCAGCCAGGGAGCTGACACACGTGGCACAGCAGACTTCTCCTGTCTTGCCCACTGCTCCCCTCAGCAATGTATTTCAGTCAATCTGCTTGTTCTGTTTCTCACTCTGTCTCTGATGAATCCTCTCACACACACACCCCACCTCTGTCTTGTATTCCAGTTCTTTCATGCATAAATAAATACAAGTTTAAAAAAATAAAGTAAGGAAGTACCCAATTCAACAGATTGAAGTTAGAATCTGAAAACTTGCAAACATAAATTCAAAATCAAATGGCTAAGGCTAATATCAGGAAAGAAGCAAAAGAGAGTAGTTTAATCTGAGACGTATTTAAAGGTTTCTATAGGATATTGTCTCCATCTAGTGAGGTTCCCCCTGCCCATAGGGCACACTCCCAGGTAGGCACAGAATGAAAAATCAACAAATCATACACACTTATTTTGAGTTTTGATGATGAAAAGTTCCACTAGCCAATCCTCTAGTTCATTCCCTCCTACTTGACATAAAACTTGCATCAAAAGCCATCATTTTTTAATAAACAAAAAAGTAGAAAAAAGTCATCAGATACTTACATAAAAATATGCATGATGAAAAAAAAATTTAAAAAATAAAAAATTAAAAAAAAATTTTTTTGAGATTAAAAAAAAATATGCATGATGTTGTGCAGTTAACAGTTCTCAAACTTTATTAAGCATCAGAATCACCTGAAGGGCCTCATCCCAAGGTCTGTGATTCTGTAAATCTGAGATGGAGCCAGGGATTTGCCTTTCCATTAGGTTCCCTGCTATTGCTACTATGGAGTGTCACACTTTGAAAAACATTGCTTTGAAAAATCATTTCACTTCTCAGAACCCCATCATCCTGGCATGACATTTGTCATATATTTCTTGTTCTCTTCTAGCAAGATTGATAGCTATCCCCTCATGCCACCCTGAGGTTGAATGGGCAAGGAGACCTGTTCTGGTTGTGAGCAGAATTAGTATGAATCATTTCTAAGTTAAAGAATTTAGTTATTGATATGAAATGCTCTTATGTTCCACTTCTTTGTGGATCAGAATTGTACATTTGATACAGTACCTGATTCATCAGACTGGGTACCCAAATGGCCACACAAAACAGCCTTTCTGTCAACTGCAATGGCCTTAAAGCATGAAGAAATGAAACATGTGCTCCTTAAAGCCACAGAAGTTGTTGGGATGATTGTCCCTACGGCATAATGTAGCCTACCCTAAATGATTCATGCATCTTCCCGATGTCCACCCAGGTCCCAAAAAGCTGACTTACATGTGGTGGCCTTTGCTCTGAGAATCTTCATTGAACCCTGTAACCATAATGATGAAGGCTTCAATTGCTTCAGAAAATTCTTCAAGTCCCTTTTCTCCTTGGAATCTCTATAGGCTACCTGAAGAAGCAACTCATATTCCTGGGCTGGACCTAAAGAGAGAAAGATCGTCCAAAGGTTTCCTTTTCCATCTGAGAGGAAAATGTTACCAAGGAAATGACACTGAAGTAACCATCAGATTGCGTCTGGAAGTCCAGGACCACACCACACTCCTAAGTTCTTTGACCTGCCTAGCATCACTTCCAACTACAAAAACTTCGGTGACTCCCCTAGTCAAGTTTCAAATGAAAGGGGTAAGAAAAATCCTGGTCTTCCCTCCTTCTCTCCCAACTCCAGCTTTTGTGAAGGATCTTCAATATAAAGCCACCAGACTCTCTAAAAATCCTTCTTTCCAGCCCTCTCTGGTGGCACAGCGGGTTAAAGCACTGCACTAAGACGCTAAAGCCACTTCAGCATGAGTTCGATTCTCATCTGCCCCGGGGTGACCACATGGCATGGCAGACCTCTCCTGACCCGCCCGCTGCTCCCCTAAGCAGTGTACTTCGTCGATCTGCTTGTTCTACTCCCCACTTTGTCTCTGGTAAAGCCTCTCGCCTCCCCTGAGCCTTTGGCCTGTACCCCAGTTCTGTATGTACAAATAAATAAATCTTTAAAAAAATCCTTCTTTCCATAAAAATGGAAAATAGTTGAGTTTGAGTTCACCTTTGAAATTCAAAAGTGAAACAAAACCAAAATTGACTTGAACCTTCATATATCCTTATCTCCACTTTATCAATTCTGAGGATCACCTCATGATTCCTTAAGGAGACATCATTGAGTGTCTTTGGATAGGAGAAATGAATCTCATGAGTCTTCTCCCATCCCATCATTTGGATGCATTCACAAGAAATTTAGAGAAACTGTATGGCATGTCATGACCCTCCTAAGCTCAGTGTATTGTCCCCAAATTAAGAATGTAAAGGATCTTAGAGAAAAAGGAAAAAAGGCTAAACATCCTTCAATCCTGGCTATCATTTCATTGCCACTGGCTGCAACATCTAGAAATCTCTTGGACATCGCAGGACATGTTATGCTCTCTGCAGGGACAGAGGAGGTAGGGAGCTTCTCAGAAAGAAGGTAAGAGTGTAACAGTAACTGAGGAGGTGACAATATGTCCATGTACAATTACAAAGGACCTCTCTGCCACAGGCCCCACCATCACACACTGCAGAGTCTTAACACCCTTCCCATGCTGTCTCCATTGCCTTGCAGACTGGAACTTCCGCTCCAGACCTCAGGAGCAAGTGGTGGGACCTACAGGGATTTCCACTGTCACTTTCCAAATGGGAAAGAGCTAGGGACTGGGAGAAAGAGACACGCTGGCCACACTGGCAGGGGGTGATGGCACTGGTTCAGGAGCCAGAATGACTGGGTTTAAATCATGCCTCCTGCCTCTCAGCTCTCTTCTTTAGTTTCACTTCCTATAAAATTAAAATGACCACTGAACCTAACTCCTAGGGCCAGCGTGAAGATTTAAATCATCTAACACACCTAATATAACACTAGGCACATAGTTACATCATAATAAATACTTGCTGTGTTTTTATTGTCAGGGAAAATGTAGTCAAGGCATCCAGGGATGAAATGTTTATTTCATTTTCCGAAGAATTATAGTCTTGTATGGTGCTGAGTTCTATGGCATGATTAGCACATTGCTAAATGGCAGATTCATTATACCATAGAAAGGCTTTTGTGGATTGACCCAAGAACCTAGCAGCCCAATGTGTGCATCACTGTTTTTATGAGCAATGCACTCAGTGATTGAAATACCAAGCCCACAAATTAAATTTTAGAAAATAACCCATTCTTAGATTGAGGTCTGTGCCCATTGGTTACATTGTTAGGATCAAAATAAGGAAGAAAAGAACGGGCAAGTCCTGACCAGACGTGGTGCAGGATTTTTTACTATGTCATTTAATCCTCACAAAAGTCGTTACATGTGTCACAAATTGGCTAGAACGAGTTACTGGAGGTGGAGGGGGGAAGGTTAATAATGTGCCAATGATCACACAACCAGCCAGAAGCGCTGTTGGGGTTTGAATCCTTGTCTCTAACTGATACATGCCATCTGGTGGAGTCTCACCTAAATGCTCTTTCTTATTCACCATGAGTTCTCCTTTTGCTTCGATGCCCTCATTTCTCTGTTAAAGAGAAAAAAAAGAATATTCATGATGAGGTTTTGTCATGTAGTTTATAAGGCCTTTTGTATTTCCCATAGAGATTGAAATAATGGATCTAAAATTCAAGCCAGGTGTGGTTGGAAAGTGGCCAGTAAAGGACTTCACAGAGGCAACTTTTAAGCACAGATCTAGAGGAAGTGGGAGAGTGAGAATACCAGAGAAAGAACCTTCCAGTTAGCAGAAACAGCACAAGCGAAGGTCTGGAGGGTAGGACATGCCTGATGGCAGATACAAAACAAGAGTATCAGAGTAGCTGGGTCAAGGCAGAGGAAGTGAGTGTCCCCAAACAGGCAGGCCATGCAGCTCTTTATAGACTATGACGAGGGCTTCACTTTTACTTGAGCAAGATGGGAACTGGAAAGTTCAGAATAGAGAAAACATATGCTCTAATTTACTTTTTAGACAATGCTGCCCTGCAGGCATGTTGATATAGAAGAAGGAGAACATTCCAGAGATACTGAGTGTCAATCAAAGTAGCAGCCATAATGGCAGTGATAAGTATCTGGATTCTGGCTCTATTTTTAAAGCCAAAGATTAAAAAAAAAAAAAGTCAGTGGTTCAGATGTGGGTTATGAGAAGATTTAAGCATGAAAATAAGTATTTTTGCCTAAGTAGTTGGAAGGATGGTGGTACCACTTGCTGAGGTTAAAAAAAGGAGGGCATGGTTTGGTGAGAAATAACTTTAATTTTAGACATATTAAAAAGTTGTAAAAGAGTTATTTATTTATGCATACAAGAAACTGGGATGCCAGCCAGAGGTGTGGGGGTGAGAGGACTTACCAGAGACAGAGTAGGGAGCAGAACAGGCATATTGATTGAAATACACTGCTGAGGAGAGCAGCGGGTGGGTCAGGAGAGGTCTGCACCATATGGGTCACCTCCCTGGGCGGGGACAGAATGTATGCTGCAGTGGCTGCAGATAGCTTCATAGGGCTGTGCTTTAACACACTGCACCACCAGGAAGAGTTCTAGACATTAAATTAAGGGGCCAACTGGACTGCCAGCTGGAGATACTAAGCAGGTATTAGATGTGTGAACTTGGAGTTCAGAGGCAAGACCTCCTATAGAGACATAACTGGGGGGATTTTATTGTATGTAAAGAGCATAAAAACTATGGTGCTAGAAAATAGCACTAAGAAAGTGAGTAGAGAAAGGAAAGAGAGCATTCAAATATTGCTAATGCCAATCCATATTCTTTTCTCCATCTAAGAGGAGAACGTTTAGAGTGAAAAGGTATCTCCATTTTGGTCATCTAAGTGCCCACAGATGAAATGACTTGTTCAAGGTCATACAACTAGTGTTAGTAGTGTTGAGACAAAACCCCAGAACTTCTGATTCCAAGTCCATTAAATCATGTGGTTTCTGTTGCCTAGAGAGTGATGTATACTTAAAATGCCAGGAGACAGGAGAGGTGGTAGAGAGGGAAAAATAGACATATGCCAGCTCACCCCCAGGGAGCCATCACTGCCCTCAGTGATTATGAAGAAAGAGATGAGCCAGAGCACCCAAACGCTCATCTTCAGCATGTCGGTCTCTTCTCCCCCAACTGACCAAAACCAGCCTGGTTCACACTCTATGACTGGACCAGTGATGTACTGCTGAGCACAAACACAAATAATTTAAGCCAAAATGTTAAGATGCTCATGGTGATAAGGTTAACTGAGCTGGTTAGAATACTAAGTGTTTGATTATTTTTACTTCATACACAAAATATATTTTTTACTTTCATCATTACTTCCATTCCCATTGCAGAAGTAGTAAATTTTGTGTTTTACAAACTTATTAGAAAATTGCTCAAATGCTCTCATTTAAGATCAAGTCTTAAATGATCTCATCACTGATCAGATTTGACTAAAGGCAGGCTATTTAAAAATCATCAATTGCTAACTTAACAAGGTGTATTTATCAGTCAACCTTTTATATTTCACGGAGGTTATCTTTTCATCTCAGTAAAACAAGCATTTAAAAGAACCAAGGACTATTACAGATGTTAATATAAGGATAGAATCTGAGAGCTTAAACATAAAAATAATAACGAATTAATCTAACAAAATTCTATCTTTATAGTTGTTGTATTTAACAACAACTTTTATTAGGAATGGAATATTATCAGCCTTATAAAAGGAGGAAATCCTGTCACATGCTACAACATGGATAAATTTTGAGGACATTGTGTTATATGAAAGAAACCAGCCAACAAAATATAATTCTACTAAGCTAAAGTATCTAAAGAAGTCAAAACTCATAGAAATAAGTAGAATGGTAGTTGCCAGGAGCCAGGAGAAGGGCAAAATGAGTAGTTTTGCCAGATGAAAAAGTTCTAGAGATTTATTTCACAACAAACACACACTAGACATTGTGAATATACTAAAAATAGTTAAAAGGATATATTTCATGCTACCTGTTCTATTTTTTACCATAAGCCTGGTATTTTTTAAAGTTTTATCGAATAGCATTGACTGTACATGAAGGAACACTTCCCTTAGCCTCTGTAGGTTTCCTTCAGGTCTCCAGAGAAAAAGATCCAAATCTATGATTTTCAAATTCAATAGCCCACCATTAAAATAAATACCCTGGATTAGCAGCGCAAAAATGAAGAATTGGGCTTCACCATGGCCCCTTACCTTGCTTCTTTGGTGTATGTTAAGCTTCATGCAAACCCCTCTGTCCCAACAGCGCTGCCCACACTTAGCTCTCTGGTCAACAAGAAGAGAAAAGGTATTAAAGAGAGCAAACGACTGCCACATGTGTGTCCTCCATTGCAGCAAAGATCCTTGCTAGGGCTTTCTAGAGAAGCCTGGAAAATAGGCAGTGAGACACAGCAACTTTTGTGTTTATCTTCTCCCCTTTGCCCTCAGCTTCATGACTGCCCAGACATGGCCAATGTGCGACTTTAGCTTTCTTGGGCAGCAACCTGTGTTCCAAGCATTCTCCTAGAACTTGCTTCCCCACACTTAACTGCTCTGAGTTCTATTTCCTCTGAGCGACAGATATTTGTCTTAGTGTTTTACAAACAGCAACAGAGATCTGTGTCAGTGTTTTACAAGCACTTTTGACTGGACCTCATAGAAAAAAAACATATATTGTACAATAGGAGTGTACACTTTTATACATATATACTCATATAAATATAATAGAATGCATATGTTATGTGCATATATATTAAGAAACTGAACAGGAAGAGCAAAGATAAAATATCCAATTAATTGTTTCCACAACATAATCTAACCTGTGGATATTTTATATTTGCTCTTACTTGATATAATTTTCTTTTGTAACTTATTATGTACTACTAAATTTACTTCCCAGTACTTTCCTCTAGTATAGCCTCATTGCAGAAGGAGCTTGTGCTCTTTCCATCCCTGTTTCCTCCACTCTTTCTTCATTTCCAGGGATTTTTTTTTTTTTTTTTAGTGTAAATTCCTGAGTACTGCTTTGAAGTTGGAGCTTTTAAAGAAGATAAGCATTGTGGACATGTGGGGCTGACCTCTCTCTTTTTCTCTCTCTCTCTTCTTTTTTTTCCCTCACCTGGAGTCTAGGCCTGCAAACCCAACTCAAAAAGGCCTGGGTGACAGCTGTGAACCTTGTGTGGAACACTCATACCCTGGGCCTCTTTGTTCTCTTTTCCTCCACTGCTGGAGGGTGTCTTCTGGGCTTTCTCTGTGGACCTGCTAGGAATAGTAAATTGTCACTTATAGTCAGGGTAGACAATTATGTATAGCTGGACAAAAAAAAAAAAAAAAAGATGGAGGAGAAGAGCAGAGACAGGGAGTAAGAAGAGAGAAGAAAACACTTCATTTGATCTTTTAAATCTCAGGCTGGACTTAGCACTGTGCTTGATGAGTGCTTTCCAAATGATACTGACCTCTGAGCCGTTCTGGGGGCTGTTAAAATAAGTCCTATGTTCTGCTGTAGGCTGATCCAGTGATTCTCCTTTGGGGGTTTGGGACCAGTGCATGAGCTAGTCAATTGTTTTTCCTTTCTTTCCTTGGTGCATGCTGTTCCCTCTAAATAGGTTCAAAAGACTGAGTTTTAGATCACAACAGATTATTTTTTAGTATAAGTATACACTGCCCATATATTTGTATACTATTCGTTGTCTGGAATAACGTGTCACTTTTGTGATTGGTACATTTAACCAGGTGTCCTGTATTTGACAACTAGTCAAAAATGGTCACCCTATCCACACGCATATAGAGCAAAACAGATGGGTAGCCAGACATGGTCAGGTCTCAGCTCTGACATTTTTCATAAGCTCTGACATCTTCATAAGCTTTCTATAATTCCATTTATTCCTCCTCGAGTTGAGGACAATAACAACATTTAATTCAGAAGTTTTTAAAAGAATAGAATGAGTTATTAAATATAAAGCAGCCAGAAAAGTACTAGGCAGGTGTTAAGCCTCAATGTGCTTAGTTATTTAATATCAACATTAATAGCATTTCAATCTCAGCACCTGTTTCAGTTACAGACTGGATTGTGTGAAAATCTGATTTTAATTCTGAATCAAATGAACTTACCAAAGAGCAGGTGTTCTGGGTTGATGACCACCTCCGTGCAAAAGGAAGGATCCTAGCCTCTAAGTAACAAAAATATATTTTTACAGAAATGAAGTTATCTGACTCAAGTCATATCCTCAGAAGTGAGGATGTTAAGAAACAATTTGTACTCATGCACATGTCTGCATGCATGTGTGAGTCAGTGTGTGTATGTGAGTGTGTGAGTATAGAATAACATTAAATCCTATACAACGTTGTCTTTACTCAATATAGACCCCATGGTAGTTTCAGCATTTCTCTTCCAAGCTGGAAGTGTTCTGATCATTAAAAATGTTCTCGTGGTCCATGTGTCCGTCTACAGATGAGGAGCTTGTTGTCATCTGTGCAGGTGTGTGCACACCACAACTTGCTTAGTGGCAAGCTGGGCAGCCCAGGCCTGGCCTGCAGCTGTGATGACACGGCTTCTGGAGGAAGACTGGACCCGCTCACTTCCTTGCATTCATGCAAGTGTGTCCATTCCTGATAATCCCCGTCCTTCAACTCACAGAGAAAAATCATTTCATTTTGCTCTTCCGCCTCAGCAGAGGGAGGTCTGTTGTCTCCTTCTTCTTCCACTTCAGTATTTATGGACTCCAAATATCATTTGTTTATGTCAACAGCTGTCTCCTTATCAACAGTGTGCTCAGTATGGACTGCTCACACCTACACTTTGCAGCATATTTAACAACAATCTAATCTGAGGCACAGCTGAACTCGCTGCTTCCCTGGCATCAGTATTGATGGGATCATGTTTCATCTTCTATAAATAGAATTCCCAGTAGAGCTGTCTCCCTCTGCTCTGTCTTGAACTCACATGTGTACACACAACACACACACACACTTTAGTAGAAAAAGCATATCTCCACCTAGGATCTGAAAGGAATCATGACTCACATAGGAGACAGAGGTCCTTTTAAAAACCTTGGTTCTTTTACCTTTGATAAGTTGTTGGTAACATTTTCACCAGGACCTGTCTTTATGTAGGAATACTTGAGTCATCTCCTTACAGAAACTCAATTGCTTCTTTAGATAGTCAGGTAAAGAAAATGGTAGGAAGAAGGTGGAACAACAGAGAGAAACCGGCTCCACATTTGAAAAAATGCTTAGAAGGTTGATAAAGTTGCAAAATAGGCAACTTCAGGGATGACTATGATTTAAAGGTACTTAAAATTTCAGTGAGTGTCTATGTAAATATGTGTACACAGAGAATTGTGAAAACATATTTCATATTTTAGTTGTTTATATTAGATAAACAGAGTAGAAAAAAGCCTAGATGAATTAGATCCCCAGATTTGCTAGAACTTACAAAAGTCAAAAAAAAAATACTTTCTGCACTCAGTTCTCCTCTATAAAATAAACAGTGAAGTAAGATGAGCTCATCCACTCACATTGACATAGTTTATTACCTATCCATTCTATTTAGAGGTTATGCAATAATTTTATCATTTAAAGTTTTTTTGATTACTATGTCCATCCACAAATCTGAGCCTAGCAAGAAAAAATTCACCATTGTTTTTGTTTTCTACTCAAAGGAGATTTTTGTTTTTTGTTTTCTACTCAAAGGAGTTTTTTGAACATTTTTTTTAGATGGACTGAGAATCTACTTAGAATTAAGTCCTTGGACAGAGATTAGTGGTACAATTTTTAAGAATTCTAGAACTATTTGACTGGAAGAGACAAAAGGGGTTATTAGCTCACACATCCTTTTCCTAACACACTTTTCCAGTCTGCTATCCTACGTTATTCAACCATTGTACACTGGGAGCCTCCAATGTACCGTATACGAGTATACCCTGCACCTTTACTGTCAGCAACACACTCAGGGAAGACCTGAGTGCCCCCAGCAAGAGGAACTCCAAAAGCTGTCATTCAGACCCACTTATTTTAAGGTTTATTTATTTATGCATACAAGAACTGGGGTGTAGTCCAGAGGTGTGTGTGTGGCGGGTTGGGAGGGTGGTTAAGATGATTCACCAGAG